CTGTTTGTATAATATCGTTGGTGGCGCTACTTCTATCTATATTAACCCTATGTTGCTTCCGTTCGCTTCTCAACTTGCCGGGTATCTGCCGGTTATGTCTAATGATATCCCTTTTCTTAGCGCAATTTATAATGCTTACAATTGCCTATGTAACTAAACCAGAAATCGTTTGCACTTTAACGGCAGCCATTATGCATTTCTTCTGGCTGTCTATGTTTTTGTGGACCAATGTTCTTGCGTTTGATCTGGCACGAGTATTTGGAACCCAGTCCCCTCGGTCTAGTACATTTAATAAAAGACTTTTGCTTGGTTTATATATGCTTTATGGCTGGGGCCTTCCTGCAGTTGTCGTAGCATTGTGCCTTACTCTGCATTTCAGCGGTAAATCTGATTTCCGGTATGGAAGAGAAACGTTTTGCTGGTTCTCAAACCATCGGTCCCTACTTTATGCCTTTGCCATTCCTGTAGCGATTTGCATTGTTTTCAATTTTATCTTGTACATTATAACTGTGTTCGGAATTTGGAAAGTCCGTCGGGCTAGTGAGTTTGCTGTCAACGAAAATGAAAGAGGAAAGAAAAGAAAGGACGAACTGAAACTTTATATCAAGGTATATTAAGTTATTTTCACTCAAGTAGGCCTATATGATTACAAGGCTTATTACAATGTAGGGGTTATGCAGAATCGATCTATCAAAGGCATAATGAAAAATAATATTTCGAAGATAACACAATTAATCCAGAGACGTATTCCATTTGTGTGACCCTAATACATAAATGCATTGAATATTTCTATAATACACTAATGTACATTGTTTTAATATTTATAACTTTATATCAAAGTATTATAAGGCATACCGGTATGCAAAACCAATTTATCAAAGTTGTGCACCGAATAAAATGCCCTACTTTTTTCAGAAGAGTGTACTCATCGACTCATCCGAAAGACGGTGCGCTGATCTATTAGCGATCTCACGGGTCAGCGTACTACAGTAGCTACGCCCAGTTTAGTCGACTACTCTCTGCATCGTTTATAGAACTTTAAAGAGATCCATTATTTTAATATATTATTTTATTCATAGGCATATAAACTATACAAAATGCACATTATCATTATTATTATTATATATATTTGTCAAAAGTTTATCACTTAATATAGTATATAGGCCTAATAAAAATAATTATACTTCACTTTAGCTGGTACAGTCTGTGTGGTCACTCAGTAAAAACTATTACGAGTCATTTCAACACTTTAATTAATATTTTAACTATAATATATGTTTTTATCTATAGTTACTTTGAATTATCCCAAATGTTATTAATGTAATGCATGCAGAGTTGGTTATATAAATATGTTTTTTCGTCATTCCCTAACACTCAATTAATATTTTATTAAAATACTTTTTTTACAGTTGTCAATTTTAATGGGTCTGACGTGGAGTTTAGTGTTCATTACAGTTTACAGGAGCGAAATCATTATTTGGTACATCTTTATCATCCTCAACGGACTGCAGGGGTTCTTCATTTTTATTGCGTTTACGTGCAATCGTCAGACGTTGGCAAAGTGGAAGGGAGCGTATGCGACTCGTTTTGAAGCGCATTCAAGTTCACGACTCTTGACTAAAACAACTTCAGCATAATGTATTATCATTTCTTATCACGATAGCATCAGTGATAAATTTCGAGTTAGATTATTAGAAGTTGACATGCACCTTCATTTCCACTGATACATAGAATGGAACATTGGCATCGACACTAGCTAAAAATGGCATTGGTAGATTTGAAACGATCGGTTAAAGGCGGCATGTACCATGTCATGCCTACAAAGAATGAAACAGAAAACGGGCAGGGTCAGATCTAGAAATTCAAAATAGAGACTTTTATATGGGAAAGATGATGATACCACCTCATCCTCACTATGAATTGTGCTTTTAGGAATGGATTCATTTATTTAATATAAACGGTGTATGCTTCTCGGTCAATTGTATGCATAATACTAGAATTCAGCAGAGACTGTATATAGGCCTAGACATCAATCAAATGTAATTGAT